TAAAACTGGGAGTCAATTTAGAAATCAGTAGCCAAGACAAGACCTCTTCATTCCAGCATTTTACAAACCCTCGTCCTACCAGCCAGATTTACCTACTCATCCTTAGTGATGCCTACAAGAAGTCATACCTTGCTCAAACCACAGAGCTGCCACTCAACCTCCCTACATCCACATTTTCAACTACAAACTGACAGCCAATAAACATAAGACATTTGAAAAAAGCCTGAAACATGTAAGTGAAAGACTAAGATAAAAAATCTGTCACCAGAGAAAAGAGATAATTCAGGGACTAGAAAGTGAATGAACAAATGAATACCAATTATATTGATATCTTCAGAAAGCTTCATGAAAAAACATCACATCCAAAAATCTGAAAAGGATTCTATGAAAGAGAAGCAAGACAGCTTTCAGAAATTAAAATATGCTTGACATAATGTATTACAAGTAAAATATAAATGCAGGTAAAATAACAGAGAAAGGGAAAAAAATACAGAGGACCGATACAGAAGATGCAAATACAGCTGAACGGTATTAGAGAAACAAAGAACCTCCAGAGAAAAGAAAGAACAAAAAAAGTAAAAAAACATAAAAGAGAGATGTCGAAAATTGAAAGGACCGCCTACATACCAAGCAGAATAACTGACTAAAGACCTAGATACGGGTACAGGATTGTCGAACTTTACACCACCAAGAATAAAAAGATCCTAAGTGTCCAGAGTGTGTTGAGGGAAGGGGATGCAGAGAACAGGTTATATAAAAAGGAACAAGAATCAGACGGCATCAGACCTTTTATTAGCAAAATCAGATGCCAGAAAATAACTGAGCTGCTTTCAAAGTTCGAAGAGAAAACTACTTTTCAATCTAGAATTCTGTATCTAGCTGAATAGTTCGTCAAATACAAGTGCAGAACCCACTTTAGACATGCAATGGCTCGCCTCTTAGACATTTTTTCCTAGAAAGGAGCATAGAGACAAATGCTAGCAAAATGAGAAAGTTCATCAAGAAACAGGAAGATATGGACTGACCTCACCCAGAAAAAAAAAAAATACAGCCTTCAGAGGAAGCCTGTGCACAAGACACAGAAAACTTGCTGACACTGAAGCAGAAACTTTTTGGCAAAATATTTTTGTAAGACTGACTACCAAGGCTTACTCAAGGTGTGAGTAAACAGGCACTCTTAGACACTGTTACTGGGAGTAATATTTGGCAAAACCTTTGGGAAGCCGGCATCTGGTGGCGCCTGTCAATAATTCCACTGCCAGAAAGCTATTCCTACAAAATTATTTATACGTGAGGCAACGTAGAACATAAGAGCATGTGAGTGAAACTGTCTCCGTTCAAATTCCCACTTTACCACTTTCAAGCTCTATGCTGTTTCCTCATTTAAAAAATAGAAACATCTTCTCAACAGGTCACTGTGGGGATTACACAAAAGGTTCCAGGTGATGAGCTTAGCACAACGCCCAGCACATGATAAATACTCAGTTAACATTATTTACTACAAACATTTGCCATTTTTGCACAAGGATGTTTACTGTGCCACTGTTTGGCAAAAAATGCAAGCAAGTATAGTATGATCCTATTTATGTTTTTTAGAAATTACATTTATATTTGTATGTATCTGCCTAGATCTGCAGGAAAAAAAAAAAGAGAAAACATGCCAAAGTGTTGCATCCACGGAGCAGGAAGGGAGTAACCTGTTTTTGTACAGTTTCCATTTGAGCAACATGAAGTGTTTCATACTTTAGAGAAAAGAAAAAGTAAAGATCACTATTAATCTTGGGGAGAAAGGGTTAATCTGTATAAGCACACACAAACATATTAAAAACATTTATTTTAATTTATTAAACTTATTTAAATTTTAGAAAGTTATTAGGTAGATGTACATTCCTCTGTTGGTTTAGTCTGATCTTCAGTTACCTGTGAAAACATGAATAGCTTTACTTTCCTAATAAACACTTTCAGTTTTACCCCTTCACCCACCATTTTAAATCATTTCATAGCCCTCTTATAATGACCCGTTATCTTTCTCCTTCAATAGTAATTATTACAGAAAGTTAGGTAAGAAGAAAGATTTAAAGGCCAAGTAACCAATACAAATTATCAGGTAAAGAACAATAATTCCATTCAAAAATATAATCTAAGGCATATTATACCTAGGCTTCTCAAGTTTGCCATTTTACTTTTCAGCCGTAAAACAAAATCACTAGTGTAAGAAAAAACATCTGAAGTGCTGTAACAAGATATTTTAAATCAGTTTATTTTCTTTTGGAGTATAATTCCATTTAGAATAAAGCATATTACAGATTTAGTCTAAATAGATATCTCTATGTCCCTATTTCTATTCTATGTCACTCAGACTCATCAAACAGACACGGCTAAATCTGAATTCAACACCCCCAAAACCTGTCCTGCCTGCATCATCTATCTTGGTAAAGGGCTCCACCCAGCTACCTAAGGACAGCATTCGAGAATTCTCTCTCTTCTTCCTACCTGCATATTCCATCAACAGTCCTATTCATTCAGCCTAGGTTTACTCTCACAGTCCTTCTCCCTATCGTGACTGAACTTTAGGGCCTCATTCTCTTCTATCCCCCTAACAGAACTCTTGGCTTAAGTCATAGCTATATCCCATGATACCCCTACAATGAGCTTTTAAACAAGAATAGCTGATCAACAGGTCACTTCCCTACTCAAAATTCTCCAGTTACTCTCTATTATCTCAGTGAGGTGGAGGAGGAAAGTCAGGAATGCAAGTTTCACAACATCCATGTTGTGAAACATCCATACAAGCCCCTCATATTCTGTTTTCGGACTGACTGATTACCTACCCTACATGTGACCTGTACATTCAAATTCATCTTACATTCATCATGTTCTCTATGTAGGCAAGTGACTTCCTCTGAGATAACCTCCAACCCATTCTCCAACAGAGTATCTGCATGGTCCACTTTTATTCACCCTTTAAAATCAGCTTAAGAGACTCCAATTCCTGGAAGCCTTCCTTAAGCAACTCCCCAGCTTGGTCTGAGTCCTCTTCTTTATGCCAGAGCCCCACATGTACACCTGAACTGTCTCTTTATAAGTCTAATTATCCAATCAACATTACTTCCCTGAGGCAGCAAGTACATTTTATTCAGTTTTTTGTACCAACAGACCATAACAGTACCTGGCACACAATAAACTATCTTAAGTCTGTGTTGAATCAATGAACCACGTTTAATCTAATCCCTTCAGAAAAGCAAAATGGACAGTAGAAAAAAGCAACTAAACCAGAATAAATGTTTGAAAAAGTATGTACTAACATCATTAGATATTCTAGGTAAGACACTGTCTCTGCTGTTTTTCTACATTTTTCATTCCTTTTAAAGTGTTCAGTTACTATTGCTTCTTTAGTTTCCGAAACTATTTATTTAATATTCATTTCTTTAGTTTCTTTTTTAAATTGTTTTTAATTTTACTTAACTCCAAGTAAACATGCTGAACATTTCTTCTTTAGTTTCTTAATCTAAAACGATCACTGTGACCAACTAAAAAGAGAAAATTACTCTATCCATTCAAAGATTTCTTCTCCTGAGAAAAAAAAATTATATACCCCTTACCCAAGAACATTATGGTGAAGTCCCTAAACAATAATTCCTATCTGTATAGTCATTAATAAAACTAGGTTTATATATCATTATGGAAAACTGTCAATAAATATTTCTTGGGTAACCCTTTCATGTGCTAATGTTGTGTTCAAACTTTGGGCTTACACAAATAAAACAAATCCTGAAAGGCTTGGTAGAAGATAACTGTACAGGCAAAGAAAACAATCAAAAAACAGCATGTGGACGTATACAATCAAGCACAAAATTATATGAATGAGTAATTATTTGTTAGAGATTACTCTGAGACTGTTCTATGGAGGAGGTATGACTCGGTGAGGTAGTGAAGAATGACTGTGTGGTAAATAGACAGAGAGAGAATGGGAAATGGAGTCCAGAAAGAAAAACTATCATGAAGAAATAAGCAAACTTGAAAATAAGTTTAATGTGTGATGCTTAATGTGCTTGCAAGCTTAACCAGAGTGTTTGTGGCATTGTGGGAAATCAGGATAAGGAGGAAGGCCTAATGAGGCCAGATTACACAGGACAGCTATCAGATAACCTAAGTAAAAGAGGCACACTTAACCTATGAAATAGGAAACAGGGATAGTTGTGGTCAAGAAATACAATCACTCAGGCCGGGCACGGTGGCTCATGCCTGTAATCCCAGTACTTTGGGAGGCCAAGGCGGGTGGATCAGGAGGTCAGGAGACCGAGACCATCCTGGCTAACACAGTAAAACCCTGTCTCTACTAAAAATACAAAAAAATTAGCTGGACGTAGTGGTGGGCACCTGTAGTCCCAGCTACTTGGGAGGCTGAGGCATGAGAATCGCTTGAACCCAGGGGTTGGAGGTTGCAGTGAGCCGAGATCGTGCCACTGCACTCTAGTCTGGGAGACAGAACAAGACTCTGTCTCAAAAAAAAAATACTATCATTCCTACTCATGAAGTCTAAATGCTAATGACAAAGAATAAACTACAAAAACACAAACATTCAAATCTGGTTTTTCAGGACATTAGGACATTTGCACATTTACTGTTAATGGCTAAAGACAGCTTTAAAATATACCTGACAAATCTTAATCCTTTAAATATTCATTTAAGTTTACAAAAAAAATCCTAAGATCTAATTGATACCATTACAACTATTAAGAACTATTACTATTATATAGTAATGTTATTTCTCTTCAAGTTCTACAATATCATTTTCATGACATTAACAAACAAAATCAAAAGAGAACTGCCAAGTTACAACTTTACCCTTACCACAACACTGCTTTGACTATTGAGACAACTTACTTTTTTCCTTTCTCTTTGTTTCTTTCATTTCCCCCCACCCCTTTGGTTGTTATTGGTTAATTTTGATGAATTTCTTTATAGAACAGTACTCATTAGCTGTCAAAAACACTTACCATTTTCCGAGATCTTTCCAATAGCTTATCCCATATCGTAAAATGTGCCTTGAAAAGAAAAGATTTGCGATGAACTAAATAAAGTAGTAAAGTCAAAGTAAAAGGGACAGACTCTTTATATAGCTTTTAGAGCAAAATAAAAAGCTAGGCAGCACTAATATAGATAAGTGGTTAGAAAAGTAGCGAAGAAAGATACTACATAGGATAGCTGCTTTGTTTTTTGCTTTCTTCAATTGCTTAAACCCAGGAGGCAGAGGTTGCAGTGAGCATTTAAGAAAAAAACCCTTAAGGATTGAACGTGCCCTTCTTTCACTTTTGCCCCTCTTAATCATTTCCATCACAGAAAGCATTTCTTCTAATAGGAAGCAAAAATCTGCCCTACTTTCCCATAGATTGTGGTTCAATCCTTAAATAGCCAGTTTCAACATTCTAAAAGTCATTCTTCAAATCATAAGAAGACAGTCATTAAAAACCAACTGTGACATCCTCACACTGAAATGGCAGACCCAAAGAATTCATCAAGTTACCCTACAGAATAAGTAAAACCTAACAAATACCCTAAAGAATAAGTAAAACCTAACAAAGACAATAGTAAATTTTTGTGTTTTTTTTGAAATGGAGTCTCACTCTGTCACCCAGGCTGGAGTGCAGTGGTGTGATCTCCGCTCGCTGCAACCTCCGCCTCCCGGGTTCAAGCGATTCTCCTGCCTCGGCCTCCCGAGACAATAGTAAAATTTAAACTCAATTTCCTTAGTCCTTAACAATCTCCTGTAGCAGAGAATTATCAGAATGCATTAAGGAAAACTGTACTAAGTGTATCATGACCACATCAATTTTATTAGGTCAACTGAAAGTGATACCAAGGCATATGGGCAGGCCAGTGACTATTTCACACTGCATAAAATCTGTAATAAAAGGTAAAATTAATAAATATCAACACACAAACCCTTCTAAGGAAAGAGCTGATTGGTATGTTTGAAGGGAACACCATGCCTGACTCTGGCGGAATGAACTGCTGGTGTAGAGACCTTGAGCTGTGGCTGGAATACAGTGAATGAGGAAAGGAGTGGTGTTAGATAAAGTCAGAGAAGCAAGCAGGAATCAGATAATGCAGGGCTTTGTGAGACAGGGTAAAGAGTTGGGATTTGTTCAAGGAAAGCCATTGGAAAGTTTGGGGCAGAGGAAGTACATAACAGATTGTGTATTAAAAAGATCACTTTGGCTACTAAGTGGAAAATGCACTGTAGAGGGCAAGAGTGAAAGCAAGGAAGGTGAGTGAAAACAAAGAGGAACTTGGATAAGGGAAGTAGTAGTAGATGAGATGCCACAAGGTACATAGATTCAGAATATGTCTCAGAGTTAAAAGTTGAAAGGACTTGCGGATGGACGGGCTGGGGCATGGCTACGAGGGGAAAAGAGAATCAAGGATTACCTTAAACGACTAAGGAAACCAGGGGTATCCAATCTTTTGGCTTCCCTGGGCCACAGTGGAAGAAGAATTGCCTTGGACCACACATAAAATATACTAACACTAATGGCAGCTAATGAGCTAAAAAAAAAAAAAAAAAAAAAAAAAAAATCACAAAAAAATCTCATAATGTTTTAAGAAAGTTTACAATTTTGTGTCTCATTCAAAACCGTCCCGGGCCACCTGCAGCCCACAGGCTGTGAGTTGGACAAGCTTGAGTTAAAGGATGATCCCATTTTCTGAAATTGGGAAGGCTAGGAAAAGAAGCAGGTATGTGGAGAAAAGTCAAAGTCAAACATACATGACAGGTGTGCTAAATTTTACAAAATGAGAGTGATGAAAGAAGATATAAATAAGTAAGAAGATATAGTAAGTTCATAGACTGGAAACCTCAACATATTAAAGATGTCAATTCTCCCCAAACTGCTATACAGCTCTAATGGACTTCTTATCAGAATCTCAGGAAGACTCTGTTGACATTGAAAATATTATCCTAACATTAAACGGAAACTCAAATAAACTAGAAGACTTAAAACCATTTTGATTAAAAAATAGTAACAAGGGAGGAATTACTCTACCTGATTTCACAGCCTATTTAGAGCTACAGTAATCAAGACTGTGTGGTACTGGTAGAGAACTAAACATACGTGATCAATGGAACAGAATAGAGGACCCAAAATAGACCTACATAAATATGCTCAGCTAATTTTTCACAAAGATGCAAAAGTAACTCAGTGGAGGAAGAGTGGCCTTTTCAACGAATGATACTGGAGCAATTTGACATCTATAGCCCACCAAAAAAAAAAAAAAAAAAAAAAAAAAGCCTAAACCTAAACCTAAATCTCACACTCAGAAAAAGTAACTCAAAATGGACCACAGATTTAAATAAATGTAAAACTCTAAAACTTTTAGGAAGGAAAAAAAAAAAGGAGAAAATCTTTGGGATCTAGGGCTAATCAAAGAGTTCTTAGAATTAACCCCAAAAACATAATCCATAAAAACAAAAATTTTATCAAATTTTGATAAACTAGTTTCATCAAAATTAAAAAGTCTTCTCTGCAAAAGGCTGCTCAGAGAATGAGAAAACAAGCCACATATACAAACACAAGGTACAAAGAGAGAAATCTGAAAACTACATATCTAACAAAAAACTAATATCTACAACATATAAAGAACTCTCAAAACTCAACTGTCAAAAAGTAAAACAATCTAATTAGAACACTAGCAAAAGACATAAACAGACATTGCACCAATGAAGATATATAGATGGCAAATAAGTACATGAAAAGAATGATCAATACCATTGGTCAATAGAGAAATTCAAATTAAAACTACAATGATATATCACCACAAATGTACCAGAATGACTAAAACAAAAAAAAGTACTGACAGCATCAAATGCTAGTGAGGATGTGGAAAAACGGATCACTCATACATTGCCAGTGGGAATGTAAAATGGTACAGTCACTCTGGAACACTTTGGTTGTTTCTTTAAAAACTAAACATACACTTATCACATGACCCAGCAACTGCACTCCTGTATTTAGCCCAGAGAAATATTCACAAAAACCTGCACACAATGTCACAGCAGCTTTATTTGCAATAGCCAAAAACTGAAAAGAACTCAGATGTCCTTTGATGGATGAATGGTTAAACAAACCGTGATATATGCAGACCAAGTAATACTACTTAGCAATAAGAATGAATGAACTACTGATATACTCAATGACTCGGATGAATCTCCAGAGAATTATACTGAGTGAAAAGTGCCAATCCCAAAAAATTACATACTGTTCGATCCCATTCATATAATATTCTTGAAGTAACAAAATTATAGAAAAGGAAAACAGATAAGTAGTTGGCAGGGGTAAGCAGGCAGGGTAACGGGGGCAACAGAGGGAAGTGGCTGTAAATGTGTGTGTCTATCAAAGGCCAAATCCTTGGTGAAGGAATTGGTCTGTATCTTCATTGTATCGCTGTCCATACCCTGGTGGTGATACTGTATTTTAGTACTGCAAGATGCTACCATTGAGGAAACCAAGTAAAGAGACATGGGATCTCTCTATGTCTTATAACTGCAATTATCTCAAAATCAAAAATTTAAATAAAAAATTAGCAAGGGGTGGGAGCAATGTGGAAAAGGTCAGGCTTCGGGTCATGAATGGATCATTAAAATTAGAGGGAAGAGCATGCCAAATTTAAGCTTAAAAGGCATTCCAGAAAGGTCTTACCAATATGCACTCTAATACCCTCTCTGTCAATGTACCCTCACCTATGCTAATTTGAAAATTTTAAATGCTATAGCAATTTGATTTAATTTTTTCAACTAATGTTTTTTTTGTAATTGTATATTTACACCCTGGGCAACTTTGGTTTTAATCATAAACCTGAGTTTACAAAATATTAGTGTCACACAACTTATGAAAAATTAGAAGTTTATATTCTTCAAACTGGTATAAAATCAAGTCCGGAATTATATCTATACCCAAATTGGAAGGCCTGGAACTTTAAGCTTTACTTACTCTTAAGTGAATGGGTAAAGACACACCCTGGAATCTTCGTATGAGACTTGGCTGGGTGGGTTGAAGATTGTGAACTGCTGACACTTCATACTGGAAACAAATACTTGTTCTTGGAATAAGAGGGCCCTCACTCACATCAATGAAGTCACCTATTCTGATTGATTTAAAAATAAACAAACAAAACTGCAACATCAAATAATTTGTAATAGCTTGAAAAAGAAATCTTTTCATTCTCTTTGCTGCTAGCATCCCTAATCAAGAACATTATATATGGTTCAATTTAGTTTCTGATGACCCCTGACATAATGACCTCAAGTAAAGAGGCTAAAACTTTGAAAATTAAATCAAATGAACCATTTTCTTAATTAGCATTGATATAAATTTTAAGGTCTTTAAGAGTCACACAACACATCATGCTATCAAGCTGATCCAACTGCCTAAAACCGATCATCTACAACCTTAAAACAACCCATATAACAAAGTTTAGAATTCAGTGTGTGGGACAGATTGTGTTCAGAAACAAAGGGCAGTTTCTAGAGGAAAAAAGTTAAGTCCAATTCATAAAAACAGGAGGTTGAGAAAACAGATCCAGGTCATGAAGTCATCTCTGCAGAATGCATCGTCTTGGGACTTGCTCCCCATGGGAGAATGTCATCATAAGCAGTGGACCTTTCTCATCCATGTGTCAGAAAGCACATTCTGGCTTAACTTACATGTATCATAAATAATTACTAGTTAGTCAATATTCATATGAATTACCATGTTCAATTCATAACAATGACTATCTTGCCCAGTTTCAAAACTAACTCCTAAAAATTACATTCTTAAACAGTGGTTTTCAACTCAAAATTAAATAAAAATAGCAAACAATAAAATGAGGATTATAGAAACTACAAGTGTTCCTGAAGGTAATTTAAAGCTTCCATTTACCACCATATCAAAACAATGAACAAAGCAAAAAAAATAAGGTGAAAAGAACAAAATAAGGTACAAATTCATCTTTTTTGGTCATATGCTTCATTTAGATAACAATAAAGCTAAGCCTTACTCTAACATAGCAGCCAGTTTTTAGACTTTTACTTACCTGTGTAGCTTGACTATTCTCTCAGGGTTCTGAGATGCCTTCTCTTCTATGAAATCTATTTTGTACCTGAAAAGCAGCAAAGAAAAAAACATTTTTTTAACTCTAAATAAGTAAAAAAGTGTTTAAAGACACCTCCCTTTCTCTTCCTCTTCAGCCATACTTTTTGAGAGTGGGTTACACTTGGAACCTCCCTTTAATCTAGCCACAGCCCCATGACTCTGCCAAACTGTTCTCAACAAAGTCACAGGTACCTGCTTGGTGTCAACCCAATGAACACTTTTTGTTCCTCATTTTCTTAATACTAATGCTCACCTCCACTTCTCAAAGTGTTCTTTCTTTCCATTTTTATTTATTTTGATTTTTTTTGAGACAGGGTCTTGCTCTATCACCCACCCTGGAATGCAGTGGCACAATTATAGCTCACTGCAGCCTCAAACTTCTGGGCTCAAGCGACCCTCCTGCCTCAGTCACCCAAGTAGCTGGGACTACAGGTGTGAGCCACCATGCCGGGCTAACTTTTCTTTTTTTTTTTTTTTTTGGTAAAGATAGGGTCTTACTAAGTTGCTCAGGCTGGTCTCAAACTCCTGACATCAAGCAATCCTCCTGGCTCAGCTTCCCAAAGTGCTGGGATTATAGCGATGAACCACCACACCCAACCTCAAAGTGCTCTTTCCATGGGTATCAGTGGCATTCCTTACTGCTTGTTATTTTACATCTCTGGCCATTCTTATCTTTCTCTACCCTTTGAGAATTCTATGCTACACCCTCTTTTCACTTCAAGCATCCTCCTTAGGCCAGCCTCTGAGCTACAATTTAGGTAGTTATATCTCCTATAGCTCTGCTTCTAATCTACCTGCCTCTTCTGACCAGTTTCCAAGACCCATCTGGACATCCCTCTAGGATGTTCCACAAGCACCTTACCCTGAAATTTCCAAACTGCACAAATTATCACCTCTTTCCCGCCCAAACTTGTTCTTCCTCCTGAATTTCCTGTCTTAGTACAATACCACCAACCACCCAGGTGTCCATGTGAAAAACCTGGGAGATTTCCTTGATTTCTCCAACCATATCCCCTTCATTCAATTCATTATCAAGTTGTCAATTTGACTGCCCAGTGTCTCTCAAATCTACCCAATCCTGTCAGTATAGCTAAAGGCACAGATGAAACTGCACAGCCCAGGTTCAAACCATGACTTTACCATTTACTATTGAGAGCGTTGTCCATTTACCCCAGGGTGCTAAACAAGTAATACGTGTATGTGCACCACAGGTGTATGCACAATTATGCGGCAAAGTTGGGGAACACTGGTTTATGCAAAAACACCCCCTGACTGCTACAGTCCCCCAGGCACTAATAAGGGTGCCAATTACCTTGAATACTTGTCCCTCCTGACCCACCTCCAAGAGATGCTCCTGTCCCCTGAGAGTCAAAGCCACAAAAAGGCCCCACCCTTTCCCCTGCAGCAGAAAGGCTCAATCACTGACCCACCTTCAATGATTCAACTCTTCTGTCCTATCCAGCTTCCTCCAGAACTATCCCCTTCCTCCTACCACACACTCAACTAAGTTACAAAAGTCCCAGAAGCCCCTACCAGTCCCTGACAGTTAGGTAGCGGAATGGGAAATCTCAATGTATACTGAATGGAAGTCAAAAGTACACTGTCCAGTAAAGTACCATGGTGCACTTAAATGTGATTAGTACTAGTTAAAATGAGCCTTAAGTGTAAAACACATACCAAGTTCTGAAGATTTAGAGTGAAAAAGAATATAAAATAACATCAATATTTTAATATTGATTACACTGAAGTAACATTTTAGATGTATCATTTAAATAAAATCATTAAAATTAACTTCACCTTTTGACTTTTTTTCAATGTAACTACTAGAAAATTTCAAATTATACAGATGTCTCATATTATATTTCTTTTGGGAGCATGTGCCTAGACTTCTGGCACAGAGAGTGACTTGACGTGTTCAGACAGTCCAAAGAATTTTCTTGTAGAATCAATGCTATAAATGGTGGTTTGGTTCTACAATACTATCTGTACTCTAGTTAAAACAGTACATTACAACTGGTTTCTAAGTCCACTGGTTCCAGGACACGCTAAAAATGTTTCAAGATAAAGTGTTTCATGGGCAAATATATTTGGGAAATTTTCAGTGTCCACTTTCGGAGACTCTTGAGTGCAATGAGTAAAATTTTTTAAGCCACTGTTCTTCAAACTCAGCTTAACACAGTACATGGTTTCATATGTCAATTAACATCTTATGGAAGAATATTATGAGACAGATAGCTTTGAAAAATGCTAAGCTATAAAGTATGTGTCAAAAACACACTCATAACTAAACCAATATATTTATGATAACCTATCCCTATAAGAATTTGTAATTCAACTTCTATATACCTAAAGAAATTCTAATCTATAACCTTTAACAATTTGTAGGTGCATATTTTGACTTCAGACTCTGGTTTTTTGTTTTTTGGTTTTTTTTACAGCACAGATTTCTCTTTCTAAAGTTCTAATATTCTATTAGGTTAACGTTAAAATTTAGCTTATGTTCTTATAACTGGTAGTAGAAGGTGAAGTGAAAGTTTTCTGAGTAAGAATTGAGAAGCCAGGCAGGAATTAAAATGTTAAAGAAAATCCATCAAATGAATAATTCACATGCAGAAGACTAAAACCTGGCTGTGTAAACATTTTACTTCAGCTATTAGCCCTCTTCCAAACTGCTTGCATTTTCAATCTTATCAGTGTCATTTTAAGTGTGGAGGGGTAGGAGAGAAACGCTGCCAAATACACAAAATTATACAGTTGCTTAACGTGCGTTATCACTTCACACTAGAAAGAAAAAAAGGAAACATACTACTATGTTAATATAATGAGAAAGGCTGGTCCAAGAACAGAGAAGTAAAACAAAGTGAGAAAATTATCAAGGGAGGTGGGGAACATTTTCCTCAGCAAAATAAATGAGATCAGAAACAGAGATCTCAGAGTGGAAAATAATACACTGTCATATGTATATCAAATATAAAAATTCTTAAGATCTGAATTTTCTTTATTACATATAATACTGGAAGAGTTAGCCTTGATTTAAAGAAAGCCAACACTTACTTGTTGTGTTGAAATATTTCCAATGCCACTTTTGCTTCAACTTCCAGAGTTTCAAATGGAAGATCTTTATAAATTAAAGCATGAGCATCCTTTGTGAAAGAACGTAAGTTCTCCTTAAAAATGAAAGTAATAACCTTTAGTAACAATTTACTGAAAAGCATTTCTCCATAAGCCAGTTGAGACAAAACCCTATGCTTAGTACTGCAAATCCAACTAAAATAAAAGACAAAATCAAGTTTGTTAGAACAGGAAGTTATTAATTTGCAACAAATGAAGTTTTCGACCATAAACTACAAAACTTCTTATTTACCAGTAATTAAGGTGTCAGCCTTCATTAATACTAATTACTGAAGATAAACCTATAAAGAAATTTTATCCAAATTATATTATAATTTCATTCAAATTACACAATCTTAAAATGTTATTAAAACTATGATGCACCAAGTAAAAATGCCAATAAATCAATAGCAAGACATAAAAATGTGTTTACAGTATGAATAAAACTAAGTTTATTAAATGTATGGGGAAAAAATTATTGTTTTCATAATTTAAAAAGTTTCACTAGAAATGTAACATCATCACCAACCCTGTACAAAGTATAACATGTCCAATATTAAGTTTTTGCTTAATAAAAATGTCAATTTTACACAATCAAAATGATGAATAATACACATTAACAATGTTTATAAGATTTTTAATAAAAATTCTAATTAAACTTTCATACTACAAATCATTACTAATACAGAAAAGACCAAGCACTATTACACAAGTAATTTTTATAATAAAATTATTTCCATAAAAATCCTATTAGACTTTTTTGCATGAAATGACTCTTCTCTATAAAGAGTAATTTACCATATAAAAAAATCGACATTCATGGTTTAATACAACTATTCCTTCAATGTAACTCTACTCTACTTTCTTTAAGCTGTCTACTCAACCCAACTCCATGCAGTTTGCAATCAGCTTGCATATTTCTTTTGTAAGGTTTTATCTTTTAAAAAAGAAAAATGCAAAAGCCAGGCACAGTGGCATACACCTGCAGTCCCAGCTACCAGGAAGGCTGAGACAAGAAGATTGCTTGGGCCCAGGAGTTCAAGGCCAGCCTGGGTAACATCGTGAGACCCCCATCTCTTAAAAAAAAAAGAGAGAAAGAAAGAAAAAAGCAGTTATGTTTCATAGATAATGAAAATTAAATCTTGACCTCAGTTTTTACGTAACTCGCCCCAGTAAAGAAAACCTTAAATTTGGAGACATACTTGAAAAGGAAGCTACACTGACAGGAGCCCAGAAGTCATGAAGAAACAGTTCCAATCCCTTCCCTCCCCTCCTTTCATCCTCTTCTTTCTCTCTTCCCTCTCCCTTTTTCTCATTCTTTCTTGATTCCCTCTTCTCTCCCTCTCAATATTATGTAATATGGGCAGGATTATACAAAAAGTAATTTCCAAGGCCAAATTTAAAGCTAGATCTGCCCTTACTTCAAAATCCTTGCTTTTAAGAACCACTACAGTATTTCACTAAATCTAAGATATATTACTACAGGAAAACACACACACACACACACACACACACACACTACAAATTCTAATTGCAAGATACCATGTACTATAAGGCTCATATATTTTCAGAGATACTAAATATAAAAAGAATGTACACAGTGGAAATGATAAAATGATGTGGTACACGGCTTCCCCTTTTCAGATCTCCAGACTCCCAATACATAGGACATATAGTTTTGTTTAATTAAGAATTAGGTATTTGCCTATTCTTCCCAATCAGAATTACGTCTCCAGGCTTGATCTTTGATAACCATCAGCACCCCTTACCTACAGAACACCTGATCTAGACTGTCCTTGTTAGGCTCTGTTGCTACCCAAGTCCCAGACCAACAAGGACCATCCTCATTACAAAGGCAGACCATTCACAAAGAGTTTAGTTTGTTAATATTTCATTTGTTGATGCTTGAGTTAGCTTTGTCAAAGTTGGATTCTTTAATTCACCCAGCTCTCAATGTGCCCCTTGAATATACAGGGACCTCACTGTACGCAACAAGTTAAAATGGTTTAAGGGAGTGGTTTTCAAATTGTGCTCCGGTGATCCAAACAGGTATGGCGCCAGGCCCCCTACTACCACATCGGTCAAGATAGTTAAGTTTTTATATTTTATATTCTGGGCCTCTTGAAAACCACTACCTTAAAACCGCTTAGAAGGAACATCAAGAAAAGGTCAAGCAGGACGTAAAGTTTCAAGACAACTGACCATGTTGATGTAAATACTCTCATTCATATATCTCTGTCTTAAATACGCTGAAAAAGCAACAACACCTATAGACAGACAAACAGACAGATACATAGATACACAGATAGATACATAGATAGATTCTTTTAAATGTCCTCGGCCGGGCGCGGTGGCTCAAGCCTGTAATCCCAGCACTTTGGGAGGCCGAGGCGGGTGGATCACGAGGTCAGGAGATCGAGACCATCCTGGCTAACATGGTGAAACCCCGTCTCTACTAAAAATACAAAAAACTAGCCGGGCGTGGTGGCGGGCACCTGTAGTCCCAGCTACTCGGAGGCTGAGGCAGGAGAATGGCGTAAACCCGGGAGGCGGAGCTTGCAGTGAGCCGAGATCGCGCCACTGCACTCCAGCCTGGGTGACACAGCGAGACTCCGTCTCAAAAAAAAAAAAAAAAAAAATGTCCTCAACGTGCAGTACTATTCAACAAAACTAACACAGGAATCATTCTAACAAAGAAAGGCAGACACTCTAAAATTAATACTCCAGAAGAATACACTTACTTTTGTTGGCATCCACTCATCAAGTTTGCTATCCAAAACTACGTCATAACAGAAGGCACCAGAAATTACTGTAAATCCAACCAAAATAAAAAGCAAAGTCAAATCTGCCCTAACAGAAAGTTACTAATTTGCAACAACTGAATATTTAGACTACAAAATGAAGGATTAGCAATCTCTCCCAACTCTACAAATTATAAAATGGTTGCCATTCTTCCAGCTGCTTGCCAGAGCTCTATCAAATTTCCCTTAGCCAAAAGATTGTTAACCCCAAATCACTAATCACTAATATTTTTTAAACATTGAAGTTTTCCTCAAAAATGCTAATTACCATACAGATTTCATACAGTTATCAGATGTAAAAATTCCAGGTAGCCAAGGCGGGTAGATCACCTGAGGTCAAGAATTCAAGACCAGCCTGGCCAACATAGTAAAAACCAGTCTCTACTAAAAATACAAAAATTAGCCAGGCGTGGTGGCAGGTGCCTGTAATCCCAGCTACTCGGGAGTCTGAGGCAGGAGAATCACTTAAATCTGTGAGTTGCAGGTTGCAGTGAGCCAAGATCACGCCACTGCACTCCAGCCTTGGCGACACAGCTAGACTCTGTCTCAAAAAAAAAAAATTTTTTTCAAAAGAACAACGTATTTAGTAAGTAGATAAATAACTTAATGGACATGAAATGCTAAATTTCTTTTATATCGCCTAAATAGCTTCTTTTTGGTATTTTGTTCTTAGAATCATTTCTTGAGTTTCTTTCAAATATTTTAGGTATACCTACTTCTTTAAAAAAAAAAAAAAATTATACATGTGATCCTACCATACTTACTATTCCAAAATCTTAGTTTTAGCAAAATTACAATTTACACCCTTTCATCCCACCAAAGTGCTGTCTCTCTCCAGAGTAACAGTCATGTCTGGTGAGATATTACCACCTAAGGACAGCTCTTTCCAGCAGTCTACTTATACTCATATTTCCTCCTCCTCTACACATGCAATTTGGAAATATATGCTTAAAGTTGTAAAAAAATAAACGCTGAGGGCTAGGAGCAGTGGCTCATGCCTATAATCCCAGCACTTTGGGAGGCCGAGGCAGGAGGATCACGAGGTCAGATCGAGACCATCCTACCTAATACAGTGAAACCCCGTCTCTACTAAAAATACAAAAAAATTAGCTGGGCGTGGTGACGGGCGCCTGTAGTCCCAGCTACTCAGGAGGCTGAGGCAGGAGAATGGCGTGAACCCGGGAGGCAGAGCTTGCAGCAAGCCAAGATCGCGCCACTGCACTCCAGCCTGGGCGAGAGTGAGACTCTGTCTCAAATAAATAAATAAATAAATAAATGCTGAGATAGTGGAATTCCATGAAATTCATATTCAAGACAAACACTTTCCAGTAATTCTATGATGTTAATTATTAACCTGCAAAGACTACTTCACGTTTCATCATAAGATAGATTTTGTTACTCATGATAAATGAAACCTATGTATAATGGTAATTTATACTAGATAAAATTAGAACTAAACTCTATACATCATCAAAAATAGGTACCAAAATATTTAAGGATCACAAAAAGACATATATTTATATGTGTACATTACCAGGAACTTCTGGAGCTCTGACCAAATTGACCATATATTCATCTTTGAATGCCCTCTCTATCACACAGCCCATCATCATAGCACAGGAACGCCAATAAGCCTAGAAAAAAATACATACATATACAAAATATATATAAACACACTGAGATTCACTAAAGTTTCGACAATATTAAATTTTAAGGAACTTTTGACTTCGAAAATATTTCTCATATATCTCTGTTCACACAATGTAGCAACAGTTACCATCAGACGATGACATTACCTCAACCAAGCAAAAATCAAGAAAGAATGAAGCATCAACTTCAGGTTCTTAGTAATGTTTCTGTGCAAGATACCAAGCACCATAATGGTTGTCAACCCCGACAGATGGTTTTATTATCTGAAAGTATTTATTTTTAACCCAGGATAAAGTTAACTTGTTAACAAACTTGTGCTAAAGTAAAATAAATATATTAATTATGTAACTGTTTATATCATTTATAAATACGGAGAAAAAAACTCAACTTTTATGAATGATTAATGACTCTTATCCTACACCTAACACCCTAACATGCCGTTCAGATTACTCATATTTACAGCAGAGCAGCAGCAACTGGGCTTTCATCTTACCAGCACATTTTGATTTATGGACATGCTTGATTGAGATGGTATCAGAGCAATGACCTGATCAGAGTCACAAGGAGAAACCTGCAGTGTACCTGTCCATTGTGTTCTCCTCTTGCTGACACTACTCTGAGCACTTTTCAGAAGCTCTGTTTAACATTTGAGGACTACAAAAGTGGGATCACTTCTCCATTATAAATTCTATGCAACCATATTACACTAAAAATAAGTACAGACCCAGGCCTTGAAGACAAGTGGCAACATGTACTTCTTCATCTATCCTACTTAAATGTCTTTAAGTGTCTGTTGAACTCCAGCCAGAATGCCTAGGTTCAAATCTGGGCTCCACTAGTTCATAAATCAGTGACCTTGGTCAAGCTGCTGAACTTCTCTTTGTCTCAGTTTATTAATCGGGAAAATGGGGAGAATAGTATGAACACTGTAGAGTTTGTATGAAGGTTAAACGAGTTAATATCTGTAAATCACCTAGAACAGTGCCTGATACATAATACATACATACCCATTGTTGGCTATTACTGTCATTTCTATCATTTTCTTGTTCAACTATTTCAACAAGTATTTATTAAACACCTACTGTATGTATATCAAGAACTAGGTCCAATAAGAAAAGTGGTCCCTATCTTCACATTCAACAGTTTATGCTACAAGACAAAATTCAAATATCATATCTAGAGACTAGCCAAGTTGTGTGAGACCTTAGAGAAAAGAGGATTAATTTTGACAAGGAGAAACTTAGAAGGTACCACAAAGCAGATGGCCTTTTAATTGAATTGTAAAAAATAAATAGGATTTTAATAGAGAGAAAAGAAAATGCTCACATTTGAAGAAAGCATCAAAAAAAGCAAGGTGGATAACACAGCATAAACCATTAGTGACTGATACGGTTTAGCTCTGTGTCCCCACCCAAATCTCATCTCGAATTGTGATCCCCATGGGTCGAAGGAGAGACCTGGTGGAAGGTGACTGGATCATGGGGCGGTTCCCCCAGGCTGTTCTCATGACAGTGAGTGAGTTCTCATGAGATCTGATGGTTTAAAGGTGTTTAGCAGCTCTCCCCCAACTCTCTCTCTCTTGCCTCCATGTAAGATGTTCCTGCTTCCCCTTCTACTATCATTGTTAAGTTTCCTGAAACCTCTCCAGCCATGAAAAATTGAGTCAATTAGATTTTTCTTTATAAATTACCCAGTCTCAGGGAGTTCTTTGTAGCCATGTGAAAACGGACTAATACAGTGGCCAAGTACTCTAATGTGGCCAGAACAAGGAGGAAAAGGAAAGAAGCAAGGGGGAGGCCAAGCTGGAAAGGCAGGCTGGGAACAGATTATACAGGGCCTGGAAAGCCATGTGAATGTTATCAGGTAGGCAAGTTCTTTAGATGTAAGTGACACGCTCCTTAGTCATGTCACTTAATAAAGCTGTTATAGGCCTGTAAAAGAACAACTTTTAAGTACCGAAAAAAAAAGTGGGGAGACGGGTAAGCAGAAAGAGTTAAAAAGTTATTGAAATCATCTAGATAAAACAGTCAAAGGCTGAATTCAAGCAGTAGCAGTGGAAACGGAATCACCCACAATATAGTGATTAATTAATGTAAGTTGAAAAAAGATATTAATATAAAAGACATAGCATACCAAAAACACCCAGAAATGGATGCCACTGATGTTTTTTGAACTATAAAAGTGCCTAATCTAACAGGTAAAACATTCACTAAAGAGTACAATACAACATTTGAACTTGGCCATATTTTTATGTTACACCCCATAGAAAACAGGTCTTAATAAAAAGGTGAAGATACTGGGGAAATAGAAAAAGAATGTAGAGATAGAAATACCTTATTCACTTCTCCTGGATCACGATCTTTGAAAGTAAGAAATTTAATTTCACAGGACTTTGTTAAAGGCTTATACATGTCCCAAGGCTGTCCATCCACCAGAGCCAGAATGGACTTCCTGCAGTACCACTCACTTAAATCTAGAAATTTAAAACAGACTGATTATCTAACAAAATCCAGAGTGAAAAGGTACATGTTTAAGTGCTACATTTAGAAATAAAACAATGGGAAGGCAAGATTCTGCAGACTGTCCTTTTTAGAGAAAAAAAGTATATTACATCTATAATCAATAAAAAAAAAAAAAAAAAAAAATACCCTACAAAAATTAGCCAGGCATGGGGGCACATGCTTGTAATCCCAGTTATTTGGGAGGCTGAGACAGGAGTATTGCTTGAACCAAGGAGGCAGAGGTTGCAGTGAGCCAAGATCATGCCACTGCACTCCAGCCTGGGTGACAGAGCGAGACTCCGTCTCAAAAATAAATAAATAAAATAATACCCAATATACTCAAGGTCTTATTGGTTATTAACAAAATTACCCAAACTATTTACAAAATTCATTAAGGCTACATCTAGTTTGAAATTAATTTGTCAATTATTAATTAAACAATTTTCTAAGAGTTACACTTGAATATTTAGAGAGCAGCATCACGGATATATTTGGATAGATACACACACAACTCAAAAGAAAAGGGAAATACATTAACACACACCTATAAAAATCAGTTCTAGATTGGTTTTGGGTCTTGCTCCCAAACCATCTCTTACTTCCATGACATAGATGCTTCAAGTTAAATACCGCAGCTACCATTTCTTCGTAATTAATATGAATTCCCAGATAAACCAATCAGCTCTGGTCTGTTTCATCATCCCAGAATGCAATGCCAACTGTGATTAGATGTTCTGTAATTACATAGCTACTCACAAAAGTACTCAAACTACAGGGTCTAAATTATCGACCCCTACATAAGCTCTGCTTTTGCTCACTCATCAGTATATCCAGAGCCTAGCACCAGGCCTGGTATTCACTAGCACTAGCAGGTATTCAATAACAGTTTACTGAATGACTGTAAGCATGAATGACAAGAAAGTCTCAGAGCAGGGGTCATGCTGAGGATGCTGCAGAAGCTGTATCACTACATGTGATGTGTATAAAGCTCCTTAAGGGCCTGAGTTTTGTCTTATCCTCCTCTGTAATCCTAATGCCTATCATATGGCAGAGGTTCCAGAAATACTTGAAAACCAAATGAGTAAATATTTATAAGTACTAATTCAAGTGCCAGAGTGAAGGAAGATTAAGAGGGAGTGTACACTCTTTAGGCCAGTTTAAGCTGATAACTAAAGTTGGTAATTACCTAAATGGAATCATTACTGAGTTTTCCAAAAGTTTAAGCAATGCAGCTAGTCATGCCTGTATCTATTTTGGCGCTTCTTTAATTTAAATAGTACCAGTTCTATCAAAGGTACTATCAAAACATTTTGATCAAAAATAAAATATAGAGGTTCTTATTCCCTTCATTTCCACACCAAATCACACATGGGGCACAGCTGTCTCCTTTAAGATATAAATACTTTTATGCCAATCACATTCACCCCATGCACATTCCCACTCACACATTTACATGTACATATAAATGCAAACAAAAATACAACACAGAGAGAACTCAATGGAAGACAGATGATAGATGTAAGTTAGGCTATACAATGAAGAGGGGAGAAAGAAAAAGGCAGCAAAAAAAGCTGATCATCTGTGGCCATGGCAACCCCTTTACACCAAAATCCTTTCTTGAGACCTGCATGGTGACTGCTCCCACCACCTCACAGCCCAGCTAAAAGGAGCAAGCAAATCCCAGCTACTTGGGAGGCTGAGGCAGGAGGATAACGTGAGGCCAGAAGTTCAAGACCAGCCTGGGCACCATAGCCACCCTATCTCTCAAAAAATAAAAATAAATTAGCCAGGTGTGGTGGTGGGTGCCTGTAGTCCCAGCTACTTGGTAGGCTGAGGCTAGGAGTTTCAGTAAGCTATGAGAGTACTACTACACTCCAGCCTGGGCAACAGAGCCAGACCCCCATCTCTAAAATTAAATTAAAGGAGAAAGCACACTAGTAACAATGCACTCAGGTCTGGCCACCTTCTGCCAGAAAATAATCTAGTACCCTAAACAAAGCCAGATTCAAACAAGCCCCAGGTAGGACAATCTGTGCACTACACTGCCAATCTTGCAATACTCATAGTACCCTCCAGAGCTAAAGGGACAGTGAATAGACAATAAGGTGCCAGATAAAGAACCTCTGGGAAATCCAGGGACTTCTGCGCCCACCACATCTGGCTAATTCATTTTTATTTTTTGAGAGATGGGGTGGCTATGGTGCCTAGGCTGGTCTTGAACTTCTGCCCTTAAGCTCTCCTCCTGCTTCAGCCTCCCAAGTAGCTGGGATTTGCTCGCCTTCTTTTAGCTACGGCTGTGATGTGGTGGGAGCAGTCACCATGCAGATCTCAAGAAAGGATTTTGGTATAAAGGGATTGCCACGGCCGCAGATGATCAGAAGTAATTACAACATCCTGTCTCCTGCACCAGTTCTTCCACACAGCTCAAGTAAAAGGGTGAAAACTGTAAACTGATTCTGTTACTTACGCATGGCACAACTGTAGGGAGTTGAAATGTTTTTATTCATCACGAAGACAGTACCGGGGTCAGTTTTCCCAACATGCTTAACTTCTATCTTCTCAGTTCGGGGAGTTAATGATAACTGCCTGGCTTTCTCTTTATTAAAGAGGTCATTCCGCATTTCTGTCAATTCTGTCGGCGACAGCTGAGAAGCTGGAGATGTTGCTATAAATCCTGTGAAGAAGTTACAATAAATATGAAGACTGAAAAAATGATTAACATACTGCCAAAACTGCGCTCAGAGGTAAAATTAAACCGATTTGTAATATTAACAAACACCAGCGGAAGAAACAGAGCTGGCCCAGATATGTGTCTCTACTTTTAAATCTGGCTTTTTCACATCAGATGGCTATTTCCCACCAATTTCCTCTGTCGTGTTTCCAATCAGTGCTTTACAATAAGGGACAAAAAGTAACCAGGAAACGGAGTCAAAACTGGACTAGAGTCATTGGGAAGGTGAAGAAAGTGGTCAATTTGAAAGGGTCTGAAGGAAAAGAATAAAATTTCAGGAAACTAAAGGTCCCATACCAAAACTATCAATATCCAGAATGAGAAACGCTGAGTTTACTTCCCAAAAGCCAAATCAGGGGACCTGCCAAGGCAAGTCCGAGTACTCCCAGGGAAGACATGGACAGATGTGCACCGAACGTGCGTTGCTTCCCAGAGGCGGCCCAAGCTCCTTCCACGGCCTGACCCCGACCCCTGCACTTGCCCCTGCCCTCCTTCAGCCCCTGGTTCCCATACATTTGTCCTCCCTGGCTGTGCAAGGCCAACCGCCGCGGCGGGACTGAGAAACCCTCCTCCTTCCTCTGCCCCGCTGGACGTCCCCGGCCCCGCCTCAGGTCCAATCCGGACAGACAACACTTTCTAGGCCTCCTCCCTGTCCCCACGGCCTCTGAAACTCACTCCAGCTGATCCCCCCACCGGATGCGACCCGCCAGAGCCGCAGCACCCGGACACCCATAGCCAGCGCCTCCATAGCAGCGGTGAGAACTGTCGCGCGCAAGTCCTTCTTCGCCCTCCTCCCCCGGAAACGGAGCGCGCCCTCCGAGTTCCGCAGGACAGTTCTGTTCCGGACCCAGCACTCAGACTGCGCGCCGCCACCAGGGGGCGTCAGGCCTCGCTAGGGATTCGGTGGCTGAGACCCCGAGATTCGGAGCCGGGGCGCGTTACCTGTGCTCGATACCTGGGTGCTGTCACCGACCCAGAGGTGCAGGGCCCCCAGAGCGGTCGGCCTGCCTGCCACCCACCACGTAGGCTCTGCAGGGAACACATTCCCACAGGCGTCGTTGCCTTCCGCCTTCCGGCCTCTGCAGGTTCTATTCCGGCCACCCAGTGAAGCGCTTGCTTCCCTAAAAGAATATATGCATTTCTGGGGCGGGGGGGGAGGGGAATGGGAAAGGCGTCTTCTATTGCATCTAGCGCGTGTCTCAACTTTCAATTGTGCCGGGTAGGTTCTTAGTTCGGCTGGAGTGGGTCTGCATTCCGGTTCTCCTCTTAGCCATGGTAATAGAGGCCTTGAGACACGTCGCCTTGACTTTGGAGAAGACGTTGTAATTCGTAAGAGCTCTTTACAAATTTTGCAGTTTAGTTTATGTAGTACAGGATGTATAGGAGAAGGCATCCCGGGGCAGAATTTTTGTCTCTAGTCCACTGATGTATCCCAAGCGCCCAGAACGGAGCACAGTTCACAGTCAGCGCTCAACAGATGTTTCTTAAATGAATGAATGAATGAATGAATGAATGCCCTTGCAGGCAAACCTCAGCGCATTGTCTAATTCCTCTGTCCTACCAGGACGTGAGTGTTATTTGAAGTAAGCACTCCGTAGGTACAGGATGGAAATATTTTCACTTACAGTAGGTTAATACTGTGGCTTAAAGAGTGTCAAATTCAGCCTTTCCCCCACTCTGTCCTTTGCCTTGCAATTGGAATGCGCCACCACCAGGTGGAAGTGCCGTCTAAGGTACAAATATGACCCTGCGCCAGGATAGACTGACTCTGTCCTTGGCCCAAATGTTACACTCACAACCACTGCGCCAGGAAAGTGTTTAAGTATCTTCACTTTTTCAAACGGGAAATTAAGTGACGGAGCTTGGATTTACATCCAGGCTACATTTTACCAGGCTACATTTCATTTAAGAGCCTAATTCAAACCACGAAATGTACATATATACACATAGGGTTGGGGAGTGGGTGTATCTTTTACTTCCTCAAATTTGCATACGATTCCCATGAAAGCTCTCTGTTTCGTCAGCCTTTTAGAGCCTGTACCCATTTAACCTTACCTAGAAACACTCTAGTGCCCTTACAACATCTTAGAGCCACGTTGAAGCAAAGCCTCTGAACATAAACTTAAGCAAGTTTGATCATAAACCCATTGGAGGCAGGTAATTGGAGTTCACCTGTATGAGAAATTAACCTAGTTGAAAGGTTGTCACTAGTGATAATGGCCAAAAAATACTATGTACCAATCATAGGGCTGGGTTTATTAATTTTCACAACCTACCTGAGCAATTGGCATAAAAATCTTCATTTTCCGGGAAAAGAAGTTCAGGTTTTAAGAGTTCGAGAGACATGCCCAGGGTAAATCTCAGGCCAAGAATTCCCCCCAAATATTTTCTTACTCTGAATCCCCTCTCTTGCCTTCTTTATCAACCAGCTCCCCAAATCTTAATCTCACTCTGTCAATGTCTCTGCCAAATAAAAAGAATCAAGTCTGTGACAGTAAATATCTAAGATAAGCCTGGATTGTTACTGTGCCAGAAAGCCTATAACTAACTATAAAATACAGACAAACAGAAACATGTTAAAAAGGATGGGGTACCAAACTCAAAGGGGCTCCCGTTGTCCAAATTTGGGAGAGTTTGCATAACACAAAGAATAATGCTGAAATTTCATGACATGTACACTAAAAATTCATGAATCCATAATGATACTCAAGAATAAATAAGTGTGGAAAGAGTGAAGGGAGTTTTCTGTACCAAAAAAATGCCAGATAATAAAAGTTGTAGGAATGATAGAATAGGGAAAATCACCATTCTGCATCTACCAATGTAACCATTGGTACAGGAAGGGATCATCAATAGATGCTAAAACCAATAGAGAAAGTTTGTTGAGGATCAATATATTCACATAGTCTCTAAGTATCACCTCACAAATTACTGACAAAATACAAATGGATAAATGAAACTTTTCAAAGGAGAAATCTGGTGGATATCATCATCAAGTGGTCAAACGTATCGTCACCCAAAATGAGACAATCTGACTTTATTTGTACTTCTTGGTTGTGATATAAACAAAATAATCTATGTAGTATTCCTCACATAAATATTTAACCTGAATCTAAAGAATTATGAGGAAATCAGGTATATCCAAAAAGTGATATAGTCTACAAAACAACTGACCTAAACTCTTCAAAAATGTGATGTATGAAAGATGAACCCAAAAAAGTCAAGAAACTGTTGTAAATTAAAGGAGACTAAATAGATCTACATTTATTATCAGTGCATGGTCCTCGCTTGGATTTTGGATCAGGAAAAAAGTTTACGAAGAATGTTACTGTGACAGAGAAACTTGAACATAAACTATATACTAAATAATACATCAATGTTATATTTCTTGGATATGATCATAGTGTCATGGTCATATAGGAAATAATCCTCATTCTTACGATATACATATTAACATATCTAGGAACCAAATATCACTATGCCTATAACTAACTCTCAAATGTTTCAGCAAAAATAGGGAGCTCCATACTGAGGGAGGGAACAAGACAAATTTAGCAAATGTGGCAAAATGTTAACAATTAGAGAATCTAAGTGAGGGTGTTAGTTGAACTACTCCTTCAACTTTATTCTGAAAAGTTTCAACATTAAAACTTTAGAGAATAACTTCAGTGGTTTTCAACCATGAAAGTTTATTTTGCTTATGTTGTCTGTCAGTGATGGCAGCCACCAGTCAATCGTGGCTCTGCAGCTTTATTCCAGAATTCAGGCTGTAGAAGCAGCCCCTACTTGGTCTTGTGCTTCTTGAGGCAGAGGGAAAAGAATGCAGTAACTACCTTGTGCACTGGCTCTTAAGAGCTTCTGTTCAGACTCACCTATGTCTCAGCCACACAGTCCCCTGGTCCCAGCAAGTCCCATGGTCAAGACCAATGTCAATCAGGTAGGATGCCTCCTGCGGGGAGCCAGTAGATGAGGTTATATACTTCACATTCAAGGAGGAATGCAAATCACTGGAATCAAGATTCAATAACAAGGCCAGGTTTCATGGCTCACTCTTACAGTCCCAGCACTGTAGAGCAACCGAAGTGAGCAGATCCCTTGAGCTCAGGAGATGGAGACCAGTCTGGATAACATGGCAAAACCCCATCTCTACAAAAAAGTACAAAAAATCAGCTGGGTGTGGTGGTACTCGGGAGGCTGAGGTGGGAGAATCACCTGAACCCAGGAAGTTGAGGCTGTAGTGAGCTGTGATTGCACCACTCCCCTCCAGCCTGGATGACAGAGTGAGACCCTGTTCCAAAAGAAAAAAAAATCCAGTGACACAGTAATTTTCCCAAGACCACAAAGATGATCTGGGGCTCAGTCTCAGATCTGGCTGTCTCCAAACCCTATACTTTCTTTGTTCTCAAATTCATATGCTTTTTAAATCTAAATATTTGGTTTCACATTTTCAAATCATTATACGTTTATTTCTTGGGAAATTTTGTCTTTTAATTTAAAGCTTCCTAATGAAAAGTTTCACTCTCAGTTCTTTTTTGATTCACAAGTTCTTACCAAAACCCCACAGAGGATACCACTGTTGAGAGTTCTCGATGCCTCTATCAGCTACCCCATTCAATACATATCCTTATGTTCCTCCCACTGACCCAACATGCAAGATACCAAACATGTGTTTCTGTGCCTCGCAGAGCTGTACTTTTAATCAGTTTGTGTTAGTCCAGGTACTCTGAAAAACAGATACCAAGACAGAGTTAAGTATGCAAGGAATTTGTTAGCAGAAATGCTTGTAAGGAAAAGGGGGAAGGTGGCCAGGAAAGGCTGACCCCATGTAAGAAGAGAAGGAAGGAAAATTGAGTGAACACATTCTTGACCGCCAGTGGGGTCTAATGAAGTTTCAGCAAGATCATCAGGTGAATCCCCAAAGCCAAAGTGGGCATGCCTCAGTGTCTCCACTGCGCTCAGTCTGGCTGGGAGCAGCCGCTGGGAAGCAGGAAGCATGTTTGCCTCAAAGCAAACATGTTGATATTTCAGAGCTCAGCAGCTGGGGCCCTGGGTCAGTTACACTGCCTGTAATTGAAGGTCTAGGAAGCATATAAACTAAGCTGTATTTTGGGATTCAAATAATTGCAGAAGTACTTGACATGCATTTTACATGTCTACATAATAAAAACACATTTGTATCAATTACCTTATATCAGGGCTGAACACCCTCTACTTCCACCTGAGGACAAATTGCTGTGAAATAACAAGAGATGAATAGGCAGGTGCAACCCACGGCTTTTTTTTTTTTTTTTTCTCTTGATGTGTGATGACTTGAGGCTAAATGGTACCTTTATTTCAACATCATTCCTTATCAACTCCTTTGTGAGCTGAGGGGGCAATGGTGTGTGTGTGTGTGTGTGTGTGTGTGTGTGCGCGCGCGCGCTTGCACACACGTGCACATGGGGGTAGGGGGTG